CCCCCGGACAGTGTCTCGGCGACCCTTAACCTTGCCTTAACCTCTCCAGCCTCGAACGGGCCCCCCTTGAGCAACACCCACTGGCCCCCCTGCTGCGGGACGAAGACCCGCACCGGGCTGGCCCGCGACGCCTCGTCCTCGGCTTCCCTCGCTTTCTTCTGGCGGCGGTTCTCCTCCTCTTCCTCCTCGGGGCTCTCGTCCCCGTCGCCGTCATCATCGCCCCCTCCGCCAGATCCGCCACCTCCGCGAGCAGCAGTTTCGCGTGCTTCACGCTTGCGCGCCTTGTTGCGCTTCCAGCCCCCTCGCTTGCCACCTCGTCTGCCACCACGCTTCTCGTCGCCACCCCATGTGGTTATGGCTGGCTCGCCGTCGGTCTCCACCTCCACCTCTTCCTCACCTCGGCCTTCGCCCTTTGAGCTTAGGCCATCCGCCTCCGCCTCGTTCCTCTCCAGGTAGCCGCCCTTTGAACGACCGCCTCCCTGGTGGCCCTTTGAGCCCCCATCGAATTCGACCTCCATTGAGCTTCTCCATATCGAATGGGGTGGGCAGCAGGTGTTGGCGCTCTGCTTCAGGCTGCCGCATTTCACGCTATGCTCGTCGGTGGCCCCATCTGCGGTACCGCCGCCCTCTCCCGCACAGGTCGGAGGCTGAAAAGAGGGGGGGGGTTCTTGTTCCAGGGCGTCATAGCGCCCGGCCCGCGCCACCTTGCCTTCCAACTTCTCCTCCAAAGCCCGCGCCTCGGCATCCATAGCGGCGATCTGTTGTTCCAGCTTCTCTGGGGCGGTGCCGGCAGCCGCTGCTTTGAGCACGGCTGCCCAGGCAGCGCACAGCCGCGGTGCATATTGCCCTGCGTGCTGGGTCCTCCGCATGCCCCGCAATCCCAGCCCGAAGCCTGCGCTTCCCAACTCTCCCTTTGCTGCTGCACTGAGCTGGGGAGTACCGCTGGGAACACGTCCTCCACCTTCCAGGTTGGACGGGGCCTGCTTGCCGAGGGTGAAGCGGAGCTCGCCCTCGGGGGTCTTGCCGAAGTAGAGGGCCCACTGGCTCTCCGGCAAGGCGGAGTAGTGCCGCTTGGTGCGGAAATCGATCCTCGCCCAGTGGAAATTGTCTGGGGCAGCTCGCGCGATGAGCTGGTTCACGCGGATCAGCTTGTCGTCCGGGGGCAGTGTGACGGTGACCCCGTCGCTGTCGAGGCCGTAGTACTCGCCGGCTTCGCTCAGTTTGGTGCTGAGGTTGATCAATTCGCTGGCCTCGGCTTTACTGAGCCGCGTGCGAGCATCAAGGTTGTAGGCTTCTACCTGGGCGTCCGTTAGATCATACGGTAGGCCGCCCTCCAAAGTGCGGTGCATGTGATGGCCTGTGCACCTCCTGGCTAGAATCAAGGCATAAGGGTAGAGACCGAGTGATGCCAACCACCAGGTCCGCTTCTGATACCGATGCTGTGGCTCGTCCGGTGGTGCAAGCCCCCACTCGCACATGTCTATGGCGAGAACTCGGGCTCCCGTCGCGCGCGTCAAGGCCCGCATGCAGGGGCGATCCCACAGCTTGGGGTACCGCCCATCCCGTGCTGATGACTCGATGAGGAACTCTCGTCCCGCTTCGTAGCCCCTCTTCGCCCCGATGCACGCGAACTCCCCGAATACGTTGCCGTCGATCTCGATCTGCCGCTCCCCGGTTCCATCTGGGCACTCGAAAGTCCTCGTCCCTCCTGCCGCCAACTGCCAGGGGCAATGGCTCACGCAGGGTGGGGCGAACTGCAGCACGTTGGCCTCGTCGGGGCCAGGGGGCGCGCTGAACTCCTGGTACAGGCGCTCTCGTACCAGTGGGTCGCGTATGTCGAACTGTGGCCGGGGGTCCTTGCCGAGCAACGGCTGCCCGAAGTACTCGACAGACTCGCTGGTGGCGATGCCCGCATTCTTCATGGCCTGCGTCCAACGCCCAGTCCCGGCGAAAATCTCCCTCGTCCTGAGCCCCCATGCGAACGCTGGCCTCAATCGCAGGGGCTCCAAGTCCCCGAAGTCTGGACACTCCACCTCGGTGGGGAGCTCGACCGCGGCGGTTGCACCGCCGGCGGCTCTCCCACGCTGCTGCTGCTGTGCTGCCAAAGCTCTGCAATGCTGGCATGGGGGGGGCTTGCTGGCCACCACCGGGCTGCCATCCTCCTCCGAGGCGAGGTACGTCTCCCAGCCCATGGTGGGGAGCTCCTTGAGGTCCTTCCCGCTCGTGGCCCAGGTGCGGATGAGCTCGTCCGCTACTCGCCGGCCGTCGGCCCCGGGCGGTGGGTGGAGGACACGCATATGCCCGCGATGGATAATCACGTGGCACTCCTGCTTGGGCTCTCCCACGGGGAGGACCGTATCGATATCCAAATGACCCCAGTGGTCTGCACGCCATACTCTAAGCACCACCTCCTCCAAGGCTTCGCATGGGAAGAGCGCGACGCATCGGAAATCTTTGTCGTGGTCGCGATGCACTGCGTCGTGGATGTGCATCCGGACCTCGGCTTCCCTGGGAGATATCCAGGGCGGGGCATCGGCGAGACCTGCGGCTGCGTCGGTAGCCTTCTCCAGGAGGTCCCTGCGGATCTCGAGGGCCAGGTCCTTGACCTGCTGGGCGTCGGGTGGAGTCTCCAGATGTACCCAAAGCTTGGCGGCTGCCAGGTGAAGTGGGAGACACTGCCGCTCTTCCGAAACACCGGCGGCCACCTGTAATCGCTTGGCGATGCACTCGTCCAAAGGCAGCTGGTCCTGGTAGTCGAGGTAGCGCCAAGTATGGCCTTGCACTGTGACGGAGCCTTGACCTACCGATTTCTCAGCGTCCCACCTCACTGGCGTTATGATGACATCGGGGTCGGCTCCCAGGTTGCCAGCCTTCGCCCCAAGGCGGTCCAGCAGCTCGCTAGCTTCGGCGGCCAGGGTGGGTCCGCCTTGGCTCGTCGCCTCGAGGAGCACCTGCTCAACCGAAAGCTCCTCTCCGCGCCCGCGGGCGCACGCGAGACGCGCCAAGACATGCGACCGCATGTAGTCACTGGCATGGCTCACGGGGTCGAGTGCCCCGCTCTCTTGGACGGCCTCGAGCAGCTTCCGCTGGGCCAGAGCTCCCTCGTCTGCGCAGACACTCGTTCCGATCAGGGCCGGGCTGTTGGCCCGCGGGTCCTCGAGCCAGGTCGCATCGGGCCCCTGAGCGGCTTCTCGAAGCTCTGACTCCAGCTCGGTGCACTGGACCTCGGCGTACTCGTCGGGTGGCGCCCAACCCGTCTTGGAAGGTTGGCTCTCCGCTGCGCCAGCGCCTGCAGCCCGTTTGCTGTCCGCCTCGGTCTTCGCCTGGGCCCTCAGCTGTGCAATTCTCCCGTTGACCGACGCCGGGTCGATCTTGGTGGCGTTGCGGAGCCCTCCCCGCCTGAGGAGCTGGCACTGCACGGTCCAGTGCACGTCCTTCAGCCCTTTGATAAGCTCGTGCGAGTGTGAGCACCCCGCAGTTCCTTTCTTGCAGCCTATCCAGGTCGAGTTGTCCCAGCAGAGCGGCTTGCCCTGCTTGTCGCAGGGCGCATGCCGGACTGACAGCTTGATCTCCTGGGCGTTCAGCCGCTTGCCCGCAGGGTACGCGGCCCGTGCGGAGCTGGCCTTCGGCTGGGCCTTGGCCTTGGGCTTCCTCTTGGGGGTGGCACCAGCTCGCTGTTCCTGAGGCTCGGCGGCTGGTTCCTCTCCCCCTCCTCGGACCTCCCCAGCTTTGCCCGGGGCGCCACGCACCCCGTGCATCGAGTCGTTGAGGACGGTCTGAAGGTAGCGCTGCTGTCGCGGGCGTACGACCTCTTGGTAATAGCCTGTGGGAGACTCGAGGTCGAAGACGTTAGGGAAGACGAAAGCTGGGCGTCCGTCCGGCCTGGGAGCAAAGGCCACCATCTTGAGGTCCTCCTTCCTGGGGTTGTCCGTCTGCAGCATGCGCAGGAGGCCTCGTTTCTTGTCTCGGAGCCGCTCGCACCAGGTCGCCCACAGCTCTTCCCACAACTCGTAGACGAACTTGGGCGGGAAGGCGTGGTCGTCCTTCTCACACTCCCGTGCGAGAGTCTCCAGGCAGTCCAGGCGCTCCTTGACGTGCTCCCGCCCGAAGACAAGCCCGAAGAACCTGGTCATGTTCTGGGCCTGCCGCTTCCACTGGTCGAAGACCACGGGGGCCCTGGGCCTGGGCTCCAGCTTGGTGTCGTGTGGCGCGCTGTACCTGTCGAACGCGATCGTCTTGCAGGTCGGGAAGTCCGCCACAGATGCCGACCACGGGGCCAGGTTGTCCAGGCTGCTGCCGCCGAAGCTGAGCGAGGCGCACGCCATTGCGATCCGGTTGGACACCGTGGTGGGCGTCTCGACGGCGAGCATGAGGGCCTTGTTCTGCTCGCAGGTCCGGCGCAGAGCGTAGAACAGCTCGCGTCCGAGGACCTCGTCGCAGACCTCCACGGTCAGCTGGCCGCAGCCGCGCGCCAGGTAGACGTCCAACTCCTCGGCCCGACCCAGCGCCGCCACTGTCCCACGCGGAGCTGCCTTGTCGCCCTGCCGGGCGTTGGCAACCCCCTCTAACGCGTGGAGCATCCTGGCGGTGTTCGCGTCCAGCGCTGCCCCTGGCTGCACGAGGCCGAACGGGTCGGCACCCCCACTGTCCTCTCGGGCCCCAGCAGCGTAGCGTGCTGGTGCTGTGGTCAAACCTGGAGGCAGGCCCAAGTCACTGACGTGCTGGTCGTAGCAAAACAAGGACCTGATGTTCGGCGCCTGAGGGCGGACGACCGGGCCCAACCCAGCCGTGGTAGCTGGGAGGCCGGCGTCCCGTTGTCCGACGGGAAAGGCCGGCAGGACGACCGCTGGCGAGAGGGGTGGATGTGTGGATGTGCTTCAAACAGGGGCGCGCTGTCAGCCGTGGAGGCCGGCGGCCCCTGTGAGCGGTGGTGCTCGGGTGAGAGCTTGAGGAGCTCTTGGAGGCTGCTAGGCGATGCCTCTGGGGTCTGTGGTCGCGAGGGCACCTGCTGGAGCACCTCCCAGTTGCCAATGTGCCCATCCAGTCGTACGAGCTCCTCAGGCTCATTCGTCTGCTGCTTGAGGTATCGAGCATATCGGATGAGGCCGGCGAGCACCTGCTGGGCTTCCTCACCGAAGCCAGCAGCCACGCTCTGCACAGCGGCCGCATCGCTTGACCCACGGGCCTTCTCCTCCAAGTAGCAGGCCATCATGTCTCCTCCCTCATCTCCCTGATGACTCTCTCCTGACGCGGGCGCCTCAGAGCTGGCTGCTCGTCCGCCCTCGGCTGACGGCGAACGAGAGTTCCTTCTTGTTGACCCCGAGGGCGGCCTGGGCGAGCTGCTGCGATCGAGCCGCCGCCAATGGCTGCGCAGCTTGGCGTCCGCCTCGGTGGCCTGCGCCTCGAAGCTCGGACTGGGTGCCACGCCCCCCTCAGGGTGCCACTTGACTAGGTCGACCACCTTCTCCTTGAGCAGCCGCCAGCGTGCCTCGCTGAGTGGGCCAGCTCGGCCACCCACGGGCAGACCATGCCAAGCTGCCAGCTTGTGCCAAACTTTCTCGGGTACGTTGGTCGCCGAGACGCCGATGCCGAGCTCCTCGCATCCCAGGGGTGCGTGGTGGAGCAGCTCCTCGACGAACCCTGCGGGTAGGCGTCCGGAGGGTCCTGGGGACGGCGCACGGATAACGCCGTCGGGCTTCACGAGGAAGCGGATGGCGACGCCTGCTGGGTCTGCCACCTCGAGCGCCAGCGCACCGTCGAAGTAGTCGGCCACCGTGCTGGCCGCGACGGCATCGACTGCCTTCCCTCTGAAAATCATCCACTGCGCCCCCTCGGGCCAATGCACCCTCGCCCGTAGAATGAAGTGTTGTCCAAGGGGCATGGGCGGCTGAGTTGGCGGCTGGGGGAAGCCCGGAACCGGCGGCGCTTCGAAGCGCACGCTCGGTGGCCCAGCCGGCGACGGGACGGGGTCGCCAGGGCTGGAAGGCGCCTCTCGCGCAGAGGGCGGGGGTGCGGTGCGCTCTGGAGTGCGGCTCCTGGCTGGGGCGGCAGCTGCCCGCTCCGGTGTGCGGCTCCGTGCTGCAGGGCTCCGCCGAGCTCGGCGCCGTAGTCCTGCGAAGAACCCGACTCCTGCTGGGTTGTCGTGTATTGCACGGGCTGCGTCACCCCCAAGGTGTTGCAGACAGAGAGGAACCCCTGAGGCCATGCCCACCGCTTCCCGGAAGCAGGTCACCTGGGAGCACTTCTCGCCGTATCGCAGGACCATGTAGATCTGCCGGTGATGCTCGCAGAGGCAGGCCGTTGCGCTCCCCTCACTTGGGAGAGGGAGGTCCGAGGCCCGCCCGTCCTCCACCAGCAGCACAGTAGGGTCCCCTCGTGCAGCGTCTCGACAACCCTCGGGAGCCAGTGGGCGCATCTTGCCCTTGATCATGAGCCCCACTTTCACCGCCTCGCAAGGGTTGTCCTCGGCATCTACCTCGGACTCGGACTCCTGGTCAAGTAGCCTTGCCACTGACCCCTGCACGCCAGGCTCCGCATCGCCAGTCTTAGGACGGCGGCGGCGCCGGCGGCAGAGGCATGCCCCACAACATGAGCACCACGAGAGGATGTACAGTAGCAACTTGTAGACAAGACCCGTCCCCCTCCAGAGCCAGACGAAGATCCGGCAGGGTGTGAACCTCGAATAGTCGCCGAGGTCTACGATGGCTTCGTTGTCGAGGGCCGCGTACTCCTTGCAATGCAGCTCGTTCTCGCGCCCCTTGCACCCAGTACAGCTCGAAGAGCGGCACAGGTGAAGCCAGCGAGGATCCCGCTGCTCCAGCTCGCGCCGGAAGCTCTTGTCGCTGGCACCCTTCACGGAATCGTATTCCACCCACAATCCTTGGCGGTTGATACGTTCAGGAGACTTCATGTTGAGCTTGAGCCGGGCAACCCTGTAGTCCACCCGGATCATGAGGTCGTTCTGGCCGCGCTTGGAGCCCCGGCCTTCCTTGATGCTCTTGCGATACCAGTCAGTCGTCGGGTCGGCCCCGGTAGTCGGCCCATGCCACACCACGTCGGTGAGCGGCGGGGCCGCCGGCGGAACCAGCTTGTCGAGCTTGACTTCGCCAGGCGTACGGCGCCTCGGGCAAGGGCAGCATGCCAGCACCAAGCCGCAGGTCCAAGCCGCCCAGCTACAGGGTGCGAAGAGCGTCCTCAGGCTGTGGGCCAAGAGCGCGACCATCCCGGTGCCGGCGAAGACCGCCACGAGCCCGGCGATCAGCGGCCACGCGGAGCCGAACAGGGTGAGGCCCATCTGGTCCGTCATGTAGAGCACCCAGCCACCTTCTGAGCTAAGCCAACCTCCTGCCTCGCGAGTCGAGAAGGCAGACCTGAAGCTCCCCACGGCCCTGAAGGTACCCCCACCCATCCCCTCGGCAAACCAGTAGGTGCGGTTGCCGATGTCCTTCCAGCTGATGCCGAAAAGACTTCAACCTCTGATCCAGGACGATGGATCCCCATCGGGGGGGTCGGGGGGTGGGTGGGTCGGGCCCTGGGGAGGGGGCCCAGCCGGCGGCGCGGAGCGCTCGCGCGGCGGTCCCCCTCCGCTGCTTCCTGCAGGCGCAGCGCGCCCGCCGGCGGAGTGGATCCCGTCCGGCGGCGCGCCCACGTGCATCGAGGGGTCCACGGGCACATCGAGCCAGAACTCCCTCATGTCCACGTTGTCGTCGTAGTACGCGGACTCGGCATCGGCGTCGGCATCGACGATCCCGACGGTCATCGCGAGGATCAGCATCAGGGCTGCCGCGCGCCCACGGCGCCGGCCGACCGGCGGCGTCTGGGCCTTGGGGTAGCTCCTCCAGGCGGGCCCCGGCGCGCACGCGCAACCCGCGGCCCCCGCCTGGCACTGCACCAGCGCCGGCGCGGGCTCGCGCCTGGCTGCTGGCTCGTCGGGGGGGTTCGGCGGCCCCGCCTCGACGGATGCCGCCTCGCCTCTAGGTGCTCCGCGGCTGGCGTGAGCCGGCGCCGCTCGGCGCCCAGGCCCCCCGCCGCTGCGCAGCTGCGCGCCCGCGGGCGGCGACGCTGCCGCCCACCAGCCGCGCGGCGCCAGGCGCGGCATCGTGCGGCCGCGGGCGCCCCTGCCAGGCCTGGACCCAGGCCTGGGAGTCTTCTGGCCCCTCCCGGGCCCGGCCTTAGGCCAACTGAGGCCGACCCCCAGCTTGGCCTTAGAAAGGCTTGAGCCGCGGAGCGGCGGTGAAGAGAGAGGGAGAGAGAAAGGGCAAGCAAGAGGCAAGGGCAGGAGCAAGGGAACCGCAAGTGGAAGCCCGCGCCAGTTCTGGAGTCGGGGAGATCCATCAGTTTTACCAAACATCCTATCCCTGATCCACGCCGTCCGATGCGGGGCCAGAACAGTCCTCCTCGGCGACGAACGGCAGCTGCGCCCGACGGTCAAGTCCCAACAGGCACTGCGCTGGGGCCTCGGCGTTTCCATCCTCGCCAAGTACGTGTCAGCTATAGGGGGGATCCCTGACTGCGACGTCACCCTGGAAGTGTGCTACCGGATTCACCCTTCCCTGCTCGCATGGCCTTCGGTCGCATTCTATGGAGGCAGGCTGGTCTCGGCCATCCTGGGCCCCGTGCGGCAGCGCCCCTGCGCCGACGGACTGCAGCGGCCACTCGCAGGACCGCTGTCCAGCGAGGAGTACGAAGCAGCAAGGAACGAGGAAAGCAGATGCGGCCCCGCCAATTCCCTGATCGACACCGCAGGCGGATTCAGGAGTAAGGCGGCATGTCCGCCGGCCCCGAGAGGAAACGGCAGCGCCGTCTTCGACCAACGCTGGTTCCTGTTCGCGCACGTCCCCTCGCAAGAGGTCCAGTCCTTGCGTCAGGACGGTTGCGCCAGCGTCCACGAAGCGCGCGCCGTGGTGGCCCTGGTGAAGGCCCTCCTGCCCTGGGCAACAGGCACCAAGAGTGCCATCCTGGTGCTGTCGCCGTGCAAGCTGCAGCTGGTCCCCGGGCTGGCAGGCGACCCCTGCCTTCCGCGGGGCATCAGACGCTGCTCGCGGGCGGCCCGCGCAGACGGATCCGAGGCGAGCGTGGGCGCGACCGGCTCCCGGCGCTACCAGGGCCGGGGCAGCTCTCGTTCCTTTCCCGCCGACAAGGGGCACTTCGCAGGAGGGACTTGGATCAACCGCGCCACGGCAGCCAGCGGCTTGAACGAGCGCTTCGACGGTTTCATGGACCTGTTCCCTCACCTCCTGGAAAACGAGACCCTCCGCGTCACCGCCGTCGACTCCGCCCAGGGTCATGAGGCATCCGTTGTTATGCTACTGACCACGCGGGCCAAGGCCAGGCGTATTTGGGGCCGCGTGGACGACCGACATCGCATCGACGTGGGCCTGACACGCCCATCATGCAACCTCATCATGGCCGCAGACGCAAGGATGTTCCGCGCAGCCACCGCCGCCACCGCAGCACCTTGGCTCAGAAGGCAAGCCTTACTTTCGAGGTCCACCACAACCTGGATGGATCTCTGCGCCAAAGCCTCGCGGACCCACGGGTCTTCCAGGACGACGTCCCCAGGGGAGAAGGCCCGGCTGCGGGCGGATGCTGACCGCCATCGAGGCCCGTCAAGCTCAACAGGCGGGCTTCTCGCCCCGCGCCGACCTGCCGCTCCCTGCAGACCACGGCTGGAAAGACCTGGAGGACGACGTCAACGCTGCAGTCGTGCGACTCCTGTACTGCGCAGCGTTCGGACCCTGCACTCTTTGGTGCCATGGGCTGCACCCGCACCAGTTCGGCGTGGCGGATCAGCCCACGGACCCAAGCATGCAGGACAGGAAAGGATGGAGCATGAACGGGTGCCTCTTCCTCTGCTCCATGCTGGTGGGACTGGGCGCCGGTAGCTTGGTTTACGCGGCAGTCTTCGCGACCAGCACGCGGGCCATCGGGCACGGAGTTTCGAGAGATAACAGCGCCCAGGCCGTTGACCCTGCCCTGGTCCCACCAAGAAGGGGGCGACCGAACATGCCGGCAGCGCGGCGCATCAAGGAGGCCTGCGTCCCCACCGCCGTCACCAGACGCCGCCCCGAATGCTGGCAGCCGTCAACCTGCAAATGCCAGAAGCACAAGAAACCACACACGCCAGCGGTGTTTCAGGCCTTCTGCGACATGGACTCAAGAGGGCGCCCGGCCGCAGTCCTGCGCCGCCTCCTGGACAGCACCGGCGCGGCCCTGGGAGCCATCCAAGCCAGGGTCCTGCTCGCCCTGTCCCTACTCTTGCAGCGCGAACCGCGTGCCTGCCTGTGCCCGTGCGGGGGCGCCGGGGGCGTCGGCGACGTGATCGAGGCCATTCTTGGCTTGTGCGAGCCGCGCCGCCCGCGCGACAGGGTTGCGCGGGGCCGCCTAGGTGCACTGTTCGGACTTCAGGACTGGCACTTCAGGGAACTACACTCGGCGCTGGAGCTTCTGATTTCTGCGGTGTCACGCTTGGTCATGGTCGCCCACCACCACCACCCCCTTGCCATCGAGGCGAACTGCCCCCCAACCTGGAGGGGCCTTGAGGCTGGCAGGTTCCCGCACCAGGCCACCCTCGCAGTCATCGAAGGTATTGTTTCTACCGCTGACCTCTCGGCCCTGGCGGACCACGAGTGTGCGGTATGCGCTCTCTACGTCGACGTGCTCGGGTCCGGCATTGGCCTCGCTGCCGACCCTGCAAAGCAAGCGGGCAGGGTCGCCTGGATAGGCGGGGGTATTCATTCGCGCACCTGCACCTGGACGCGCCCGCCCCACTCGGGCCCCGCCCTGGCGTGACGCTACGGCTTCCCTGGATAGACGAGCGTGACGCCAGGTGGACGAAGGAGCAGAACAGGGCCGACTTCTACTGCCAGGGATGCCTCCGTGGCCCGTTCAAGCACGATTAGAGCGCGTGCGTCAGCAAGCGGATCCGCCAGGTCATCGCGGTCAACGTAGAAGAAGTAGTAGTAGTAGTAGTAGTAGTAGTAGTAGCAGTAGTAGTAGCAGTAGTAGCAGCAGTAGTAGTAGTAGTAGTAGTAGTAGTAGTAGTAGTAGTAGTAGTAGTAGTATGTTAGTAGTAGTAGTAGTAGTAGTAGTAGTAGTAGTAGTAGTAGTAGTAGTAGTAGTAGTAGTAGTAGTAGTAGTAGTAGTAGTAGTAGTAGTAGTAGTAGTAGTAGTAGTAGTAGTAGTAGTAGTAGTAGTAGTAGTAGTAGTAGTAGTAGTAGTAGTAGTAGTAGTAGTAGTAGTGGTAGTAGTGGTAGTAGCCGTAGTAGTAATAGTTGCTGGTATTGCTGTTATTGTTGATGTTGCTGTTGCTGTTGCTGTTGCTGTTGCTGTTGTTGTGGTTGTTGTTGTTGTTGTTGAACTCTCATTCTTGAAGAATATAATTATTGTTGATCCCCCCCACCGGTGCACACTGTTTTTTTGTCGATTGAAGTGCCACCCCCAGGGCTCGCACCTTGTTGTTTCTCAAGGAAAGTGTTCCTGCTCAAACTGTGCCCCTGCCCCCCGGGCTACAATAACAACGGCTCCCGCCTGAGACTTCCTCGATTTTTACTCAGGACCCCCGCTCCCGCCTGAGACTTCCGCGCAATTGACTCAGGAAAGGCGCTCCCGTTGGAGACTTCCTCGCAATGTAATCAAGACCCTCGCTCCCGCCTGAGACTTCCGTGCAATTTACGTGGGAACGACGCTCCCGCCTGAGACTTCTTTGAATTTTACTCAGGACCCCCGCTCCTGCTTGACATTTCCGCGCAATTGACTCAGGAACGGCGCTCCTGCCTGAGACTTCCTCGCAGTTTCGTGAGGACCCCCGCTTCCGCCTGAGACTTCCGTGCAATTTGCTCAGGAACGGCGCTCCCGCTTGAGACTTCCTCGCAACTTAGTCAGGGCCCCCGCTTCCGCATGAGATTTCCTCACAATGTACTCAGGACTGCGCTCTCGCGTGCGACGTCCTCACAAATTATTCTGGAATTGCGTTTCGGCGTTCAGGAACCACGCACGCGCCAAGGACGCCTTCACAACGTGGTATCTTCCCTCTTCCTTCGTCCTTCCCCCTCCCCTTCCTCCCACTCTCCCTCGTTCTTCCCCTCCTCCTCTTGCAGGGCCCGCGCCAATTCCAATGGCGGGCAGAGAGATGTACGCCCCCGAAGGATTGTCCGCCCGTTCCGGTTTGCCCGTACGTCTAAGCCCGCCGGCCCCAGCAAAGAGAAATAATCCCCCCGAAAGGGGTGTGATCGAAGACGAAGAGGGCGGGTATCGAGGGTGTAGGGTATACGTGTTGAATGACTCGCGGGCAAGTAAGAGCGTACAGCCTTAAAATGGTTGTTGTTGTTGTTGAACATTATTCCTTCTAAAGAATTATTATTGTTGGGACCCCTGGTGCGCGACCTCTGCGCCGCGCCTAGGCCGCAGCTACATTTTCATCATTTTTTCGCGAAAGCTTCAGAAAAGTGGATGAGCTCCGGATCCGGTTTTTTGTTGACGCTCGTTTTCCCTTGCAAAAAACAATAGAAAATGAAAATTCTTGTTTTTACTTGATCAAATTGCAAGAATCCCTTGCAAAAAATAAGGTAAAGTGGACATTCGTGCGCGCAAGACGAAATCCTTCCAAAACCTTAGGTTTCGTAGCGATTTTAACATAAAAACATCAAAAACCCAATGGTTTTCTCAGAAAAAATTGTCAAAATGTCCTTCCGCGCGCTCTTGCGGATTCCTAGGAAACCCACCAGATTTTAAACATTTCTGTTAAAAGGGCCTTTGCGAGGAACCTTTTCAGGTGCTTCGACCTTCTGCAACAACGGTTGCGAGCCTACGAGGGCCACCATCCCTTGCAAAAAATGACACGAAGTGCACATGCGCGCGGCCGCCGCGCGGCGCGGGGCACATGCGGGGCCCAAACAAGTGATCAACCTCTGCGGGTGTGTACTCCACGCCAGTGTAGTATCCACGATCGTCCGCGCGCCACGAAGTGAAGTGTCCTGACGTCATAGGGCGGGAAGCTGGGTGTGGGTGGTTCCCGAGAGTCGTGTGGATGTTTGGTAGAGCTTGCATTGCCCCCCCACGAAGTGGGGGTATTGGCTGGCGTCGCATGAAAACCCTGGCACTGGGGAGAACACTGAGCGTTCGGGTAAAATGATTGTTGTTGTTGTTGTTGTTGTTGTTGTTGTTGTTGTTGTTGTTGTTGTGGTTGTTGTGGTGTTGTACAAAAAGTGCGGACGGGGGGAGGAGGAGGAAGAGGAGGATAAGGAGAAAAAGGAGAATGAGGAGGATGAGGAGGAGGAGGACGAGGAGGAGGAGGAGGAGGAGGAAGCAGGAGGACGAGGATGAGGACGAGGACGAGGACGAGGACGAGGAGGAGGAGGAGGCGGAGGTGGAAGAGGATTAACCATGGTAGGGAGAGGATGAGAGGGATGAGGAGGTGTTGGAGGGTCAGGAGGATGTGTTGGATGGGGTGATATGGAGGAAGAGGAGAAGGTGGTGGAGGAGGAGGACGAGGAGGCTGGCGTGGCTGTCGCCCCTGGCCCCGCAGAGGCGTGCCCCCTTCGCAGCACTTCTGAATTGCCCCGCTGGGGCCCGCGGCCAACCCGCCCGGAGACCGTAGCACACGAGGAGGAGGAGGAGGAGGAGGAGGAGGAGGAGGAGGAGGAGGAGGAGGAGGAGGAGGAGGAGGAGAGGAGGAGGAGGAGGAGGAGGAGGAGGAGGAGGAGGAGGAGGAGGAGGAGGAGGAGGAGGAGGCGCGTGCGCGCAGCCCCAGCTCGAGCGTGCTGCCGCCGGCGGCCCTGCGCGCTCGGCGGCGAAGGGCTGCGATGCGCGGCGGCGGTGGACGCCTCCACCTCCGCCGCCGCGCCCCGAGAGCGGGCCGCACCGCGCCGTGGCGCTGGCCGCCGCGCCCTGGCCGCCCGCCCCTGCGCGATGGGCGGGGGCTGCCTCTGCCGGGGCGCCGTGGTGGCGGCGTGCTGCCGCGGTGCCGGCGCCGCCGCACGCAGCTGGCCGCCCGCGCGGCTTCAGGCTGGCGGCGACGATACGGGCCAATAGCCCAGGGGGGAGCAAAACATGTATCCAGGGACGCTGATGATCTATGTCTTCGACAAGGCTCCGGGGCGAATTACGTGTAATGCCCGCCCCTGGGCTACTCGCCCTAGTCGTCGCCTCCGATCAGGGCGCCGGCTGCCGGGGCCAGCTCGGGGAGGGGGCGGCCGGCGGAGACGGCGCGTCTGCGGAGGTGATGATCCTCGAGCGCGCGGTGACCGGGGGAGGGCGAGTGGAGGCAGAAACGGATTCCTTGGGTTTCCTGGATCCCGTTTCTTCATTGCCTGGGGCATGACGGGCCCCCCTATGACGTGACGCTCCCCACCCCAGGGCGCTCCTTTTCACTGCCGCCGTGCGCATTGGGATCTGCGTAGGTGTTGGCGTAGGAATCCGCACGGGAGTCTGGTCCGCAGTCGTCGTCGTCGTCGTCGTCGTCGCTCGTCGCTCGTCGCTCGTCGTCGTCGTCGTCGTCGTCGTCGTCGTCGCTCGTGGCTTGTCGCTCGTCGCTCATAGTCGTCGTGCGCGCGGGCGTGGCTGAAGCCTGTTTTTATTTTCTGGGCCGCCGACGGCAATCATCAAGGGGGGGGTTGTGGATGGGGTCGATGACGTCACGTTTCGCGCTGGCGGCGTCTGGGGATGGCTAGGAATGGCGGAGGACGGGTAGCGCCAGCATGTAGGTGGCGATTTGCACCACAACGCCTGTGTACACCACAGTGCCTGCGTGCATCACAGCGCCTGTGTACACCACGCCGCCTATGTACACCACAGCAGTCGCGTGCAACACAGCGTCACTTTGTGCCACCGTACCTGCGGGCACAACAGCTCTTGTGCACACCACAGCGCTTGCGTACACCACGTCAGCCGTGTGCAACACAGCAGCAATGCACACCACAGTGCGCGCATGCATTGGAGTGCCTGTGTGCACCACGGCGCCTGTGTGCACCACAGCAATCGTGTGCAACACAACACCACTGTTGTATATAGAATGTTCGACCGAATCATTATGACAAAACGGAACGTTTGTGGATTCCACAGGAAACGATATATAATAATCCTTATGGACAACGGAGCGCCGCCGGAATCTACGAGTCCTCCCGAATCCGCCCGCGTCACCCTAACTCTTCCCGTCTGCGTCCAGGGGGCTCCAGCTGCATTGGCCGTCCGGGAACCAAGTGGACCGATTCGATACACCATTCTGCGGTGCGCGCTGAGATGCGCACGTGCGCTGTAACCCAACCCGCACGACACGGGGTAAGGATGATGATGATGATGTTGACGATGATGATGATGATGATGATGATGATGATGATGATGCCGATGATGGTGATAATGATGATGATGATGATGATGATGATGATGATGATGATGATGATGATGATGATGATCATGGTGATGATGATGATGGTGATGATGATGATGATGATGATGATGATTCCGATGATGATGATGATGAGGAGGAGGTGGAAGACGAGGAAGAGGAAGAGGAGGAGGAGGGGGGGAGGAGGAAAAGGAGGAGGATGAGGAGGAGGGGGAGGGGGAGGAGGAGGAGGAGTCCGTTGCCATTTTGGCTCAAGTTATAGGACACACCCGTGCACTGTACACTTGAGTGGGCAGCTCTTCTTGAGAGAGTTATCATTACGTCAAAGCTTGACGGACAATCTTCGCTCATGCCAGTTTGTGACGCTTGCGGTTGCCGCAAAAATCTGAGCTGGTATACGTATTGCAAGCATTGTGGGCACGTTCTCACGGGCAGCAACAAGTCTTTTCAGAATCATGCATCCGCGTCTTGGGTGCATAATGTTGATGACAATGGCAACGGCGTTTGGAAGACATGGGGGGGGGTAAATGGCAGAAGGCACCTCCAGGCACTTGGAACTGGAATGCCCCAGCCTCCCCACAGTGCACTTCCGATCCGATGCAGAAGCTCGTGGACATGGGTGATGAGCAGTTCGAGGCGGCCGCCATATTCATGTCTGCACCCCAGAAGCGTGAGTTGGCTAAGCTGCGGGCGGTCCGCAGTGGAGATCCAAGTGCTGTATCGCGTCAAGCTCAGCAGCAGCGCAACGATGTTCGTGGCAAGCTTGTGTCCGCCGAGGCGAAGTTGGCCACGGCTGAGAAGCAACTGTCGTTCAATTTCCAGCGGGTTGTGCAGTTACGGGCTGAAGTCAGGCAGCTCGAGCATGATGAGAAGCAGTGTGCGCGGCGTTCTGCTTAGGCCTGGACGAGTTTGGCAGGAAATGAGCTTGTCGACGTCAAGGGTTCCGAGGACGCTATTCTGCGCATCTTCTCTGGGCTCGATCCCTCTTTCAGCATTCAGTTTCGCGATCTTGCCACCTCTCGCGATCGCTCGCGTTATCAGGATCGGTCACATGCTACTACTGACGCGTCTGAGGCGGCTAAGGATGCGAAGGGCGCTGCTCAGTCTCTCCGTGGTCAGGCTGGTGCTGCCATTCGTCTGCCGCCAGTGGCGCCTGCAGTGGGCAAAGCGGTCGAGTCAGTGCCCTCCAACTCCGACATGGACGAGGGCGAGCAAGATGACTTCTTTGCCGAAGCCGACGACGCGGCGCACCAGACAGCCGAACTATTGGTCAAGCGGCACGCTTCCGACGAGGACTTGCGGCAGTTCATGGATCAAAATCAGCACCTTGGCCTGTCTCTTGAGCAGTGCCGCGTATTGGTTGGCTCTGTTGCCGACTCCATCAAGAGGTCCAGAACGGAGCAGTTCAGTTGGTCGACGTATGGCAAGGTGCAGAAGTCTGATATTTAGCACTCCCAAGTCGAAGAAGACAAAGGAGTGTGTCTTTCTCACTGCTAATATTACTACATGGTCAAGTTTTGAGCGGGTGCAGGAGTGTGAGCAGCGCTTCGATTGCATTGGAGTGCAAGAGACACACCTCGCCCGCTCACAGTGTGATTCACATGCAGCTCAACTTCGTAGGTCTGGTTGCTCTGCCCGTCTCTCTCCTGGGGCTCCAAAAAGTATTGGGGGCCTCTCAGGTGGGCCAGCTGCGTTGGTTCCCAAGCACATTGGCCTCTCGGGCGCCCAAGGCTTCGACGCGGTTCTCTGGCCTGGAAGGGCCGCTGCCCATCATGTTGGAGGATGCGTTCGTGGATTTTTCTCCAGCATCTATTAGGGGCGCTCTTCAGGACTTGGGGTTCTGAATTGGGGTGTTCTCTCCCAGGTTGGAAGTTTCCTGAAGCAGGTGGGCCCCCCTTTTATCATTGCTGCAGATTGGCAGATCGAACCCGCTCAATTAATATCCAGCGGGTGGCGCGCTGCTATTGATGCTCGATGTTTTCCGATTGTGACGCGTGTCGCCCAGCGATCAATGCCATTTTTTTTCTTCCTTGCTCGAGAGGGTGCCGTGGCAGTTCGCGCAGACATCGCCGCAGCACCGCATTACCCAGTGGAGCTACGACTCAAGGCACTGCCAGCAGATGCCCCCGTCCAGGTGGTACAGGTTCCTCGACGGTTTCCTGCTACTATGCCCCTTGGCTGTGCTCTTCCGCCTGATATAGATCGGATGGGGTTCTCTCAGCGTGCAGGTCGACGAGTGCGACGCCGTTGTTGCTAGCTGGAAGCTTTCCATTCAAGCACGTGAAGACGAGTGGCTAACGATTTTTCAGGTTGCCCCAGAGGGTTTCCAGAAGTATACTGGGCGCCCAGAGGACCTCAATATTCACCAACAAGACCCTTCGTCGACCTGGGCCTCCAAGGTCCCCACGAGTCTCTCAACTGGGAGTTTGGTGGAAAAAGGTTTCAGCTGCTCTTGCCCCCCCCTGGGGCCTCGTTCGTTTAAAGTTTGGAGTGAAGCAGTTAATCGTCTGGATTCTCTCGCTCGCGCGCACTTTCTCCCTGGTGCGGATCTGTATGTGGGCTTGGGCGAGCTGTCTCGCCAAAGCACGTCTTTTGCCTGCTCCAGTTGCGAAGTTACTTCTGCGCTGGGCTCGCGCCGCGGCCGATGCCGAAGCGAAGAGGGCTGCCATGCAAACAGAGTTTGAATGGAAGCGTTGGATTGACAAGCGTTATGTAAATGGTGCTTCTGCGTTGTATTCGCACCCTGCATTGCCAACTGCCTGGCGACACTCTTGCATGGATCACAGAACTCACAGGCGTGCGACCTCTCGAGAGGAGATGCAGGCGTTGCAACGTGAATGGGGAGGCTGGTGGCAGGTGTCTGCTGCGCATCCTGAACTCGTTTGGCCTTTGTCTCTGGGGGAACCTCCTCCCCCTCCTACTGTGGAACAATTGAAGGTGGTGCTCCAAACCTTTATGGCCTCTACGGGCACTGGGTTCGATCAGGTGGCTCCTAGACTTTTTACTGTTACCAGATGAAGCCCTTCGAACATCATGTGATAGTATTGGGTCTTTTGAGAGCAACCTTGAATGGCCTCGAGCATGGATTAGGTTTGTCTTTATCTTGAAGCGTCTCGGTGAGGTTCGGCCTGTTGGGCTCCGCCATGTGCTCTGTAGGATTCAACGCAGTCTCCGAAGGCCCTTGGTGCATGTCTGGCAGAAGAAGAAATTCCAGAGCATCTGGTGGTCAGTCAAAGGATTCGTTTGGATATCAAGTGCTTGGTCGGAGTATTCCACGGTCAGAGGCATGTCTACCGCAGCCATTTTGAGTTCGTCAATCATCATCACTTGATTCAGGCTGCCATCGAGAGTGAGTTTCCGCTATGGATGCTGAAGCTCCTGATTTCCATGCATCGGATGTCTCGCGCGCTGGACATGCAGGGTGTGGTCAGCGACCTCATCCACGTGAAGCATACCATCGTGCCAGGCTGACACTTCGCCACGGTGATGCTGCAGCTCATGCTACTCGGGCCGCTGCGTCAAGTCCAGACTTCTTTCAGGTGCGTCATGCTCAGCATCAATACTGATGACTTTGGGCTGCGGCGGCATGGCGCGCCAGCGCGCGCTGTTCGAGATCTAAGTGGAGCGCCCAGGTTGCTGCTGAGATTACTCACTAAGATTGAGATGAAGGTGGCTGTGGACAAAAGTCGTGCACTGTCCAATACCATTGCTGTGCGCAAGTCCTTGGCCACCAAGCTGAAGTCCATGGGGGTAGTGGCAGCCGACGCTGAAAGGAATCTCGGAGTGGATTTTGCTGCAGGTCGAGTTCGTGGAAACCCTGTGGTGAAGCAACGAATGGTTACTGTCACTTCGAGACGAGCTCGGATGTCGACATTGAAGCGTGGCAGGCCTAGGCGCAAGACTCTCGGCACCATGGCCAGGGCGGCGCTGGAAGGGTCAGTCGCATATGGCGCGTCTGTTCTTGGGCTCGACAACGGGGGGCTGAATCAGTTGCGTTCGCTGGCTGGCAAGCTCCAGGATCATCGTCCTGATGGGCGGTCCAGGACTCTTGCTCTCACGATTGCCCCGTGGCGTTGTTTGAAAGAGCGTGTTCTACAGCTGCTGGCGGAAAACCGGGGGGGGTCACTACCGGTTCGAACCCCTCCCCCCCGCACCCCCTCCGGAAAACCGGGGGGGGGGGGGGTCGCTGCCGTGTCGGACCCCCCCCCTCCCCCTCTTCATCATGAACAGGGGGGGGGTCGCTGCCGGTTCGAGCCCCCCCCCCCCTCCTCCCTTTCGAAAAACCGGGGGGGGGGGGGGGCACTGCCGGTTCGACCCCCCCCCCTTTCGAAAACCGAGGGGGGGGGGCGGGCAGTGGTGGGGGCGGTGGTAATTGGGGAAGTGGCGAGGGGACAGCGGGACAGTGGTGGGGACAGTGGGACAGTGGTGGGGACGGTAGTGGCGGGGACAGCAATGGTGGGAACAGCAGGGGCAGTGGACAGTGGTGGGGACGGTGGTGGTGGGGGCAGCGGTGTGGGGACAGTGGGAATGAGGTGGAAACAGTGGGACAGTGGAGGGTACAGTGGCGGGGGCAGTGGTGAGGGCGGTGGCGAGGACGGCGGTGGGACAATGGGACAGAGGTACAGCGGGGACAGTGGTGCGGACAGTGGGGACAGCGGTGGGAACAGTGGGACAGCTTAGTGGGACAGCGGAGGAGTCAGTGGGACAGTGGGGACAGTGGGGATAGTCGGGCAGTGGTTGGGGCCGTGGAGAAAGTGGGGAGACTGGGGCCCTGGTGGGAACAGTGGTTGGGGCAGTGGGGACAGTGCGACAGTGGTGGGGGGCACTGGTGGGGAGAGTAGGGCGGTGGTGGAGCCAGCGGGGACATTGGTGGTGAGGACAGTGGTGCTGGGAACAACAGGGGGGTGTGGTGCGGCGGTGGTAGGGCCGGGAGTCGTTTGCTGGCGGTGAGTGGGGGGGGTGGGGAGGGGTTCGAACCGGTAGTGACCCCCCCTCCGGTTTTCGAGGGGGGGGGGGTCGAACCGGTAGTGACCCCCCCCGGTTTTCGAGGGGGAGGGGGGGGGGTAGGGGAAGGGGGTTTGCCGGGGGTTCCAGCAGGGGGGGGGGATTTTCGGAGGGGGGGGGGGGGGGGCGGGTTCCGGAGGAAAAGTGCGGCAATTTTCCAAAGCAAAGCGGCGGTGCATCACGCTCTCTCCGTTGTTTAGATCTTATTTTCAGGGCCGCATGGCTCCCAGTCAAGTTCTCGTTGCAAGCTTTCTGGGGAGAGTGGCCCCCGAAACGATCCATCGAAGTGGGCATCCTTGCTGCTGTTTGCCGTTTCCGAGGCATTGCATCCCCGTGGGCTTCCATTCGGGGCCCTTTCTCGGCGGCCGTGGCCACTCTCATGCGTGTTGATGTTCAGATTCGCTCCATGTCCGAGTGGATCTTTCCTAGGAATGAAGTCGTTGATCCCTCTAACGTGTGTGTGTGTGTCTCTGTCATTGAGAGACTCGTCAAGCACGCGTGCTATTTGTGGCAATGTAAGCAGGTAGCCGAGCATTTGAATCTTCCTGAGTTCGCTACAGGATTTTTCGTGCAACCCATTGCCAGGTTTTTATATTCGAAAGCCTCCCCTGAGCAGAGGGCCATCTGCGCTCTTGTTTCGTCGGGGGCCAGTGGCCCATGCATAGGCAATGGAGTTGTGGCTACGACGTGGAACCATACTGTCGCGTGTGCAAAGATGTGCGCGAGGAAGAAGTTAACGGCACTCTTCTTCACAGACACACTGAGTGTGAATGCACCCAGCAAGTCAAGGAGGAACCCCCTCCGTTCCTCCATGGGCTTAGTGCTGCTGCTGTGAGCTCTCCTCTTGCTCTGGCTTTGGTTGAGCGTTGTCTCGTGCCTCTGCCTGAGGTTTCCCCCCCAGACTTGTCTGGTGTGCATCGCGAGTTTTGGTTCCTGGGATCCCCCCATGGGCCTCTCAGGTGACATATTTCTCGATGTGTCTGTTTTTGAAAGTGAATGGCCCCAATCCTCTGCCGCGGGATGGGCTGTCGTTGCTCTCAGTCCGATTGCTTGCACACCGCGTTGTATAGTGTGTGTGTGCCTCTGATCGAGCACGTGCCCACCATCAATGAAGCTGAGCTCACTGCTATGTGTTTCGCTCTCCGACACTCTATGCCAGGGGGCGTTTTCCATGCTGACAGTGATTCTGTTTGGAAAGGTTTATATAAGCGGGGCAAGGGCGAGTGTACTCACCCCGTGGCCTCCCATTGTGTTCCGTGGCGCGAGGTGTGGCGATTGCTCGAAGACTGGGGCGAGGAGTTAACTGGGCGCGTCGCAAAGATAAAAGCGCACCCGCGGCCCAAGGACTTCCGTCTCGGTAACACCTCCGAGCGCCTGAATGCTGGTAATGTTACGGCCGACCGTTTTGCTAAGTGGACCGCTCAGGCGGCCAGGATTCCTCAGGCACAGCGAGCGCGACGCCATAGCCAACCGAGCTAAGGTTATCAAGGCTTGGTGCAGGTGGGTCGCCAAGGTTGGGGAGGGTGACGACACGTTCCACCCGTCGCAGGTCAAGGGAGGTCGCCCTCCCCAGCCGCGTATCTCTCCAGTTCAGGACCCGCCAGCATATCTCCCTGTGCGTGCGGTTCAGCTCTCCCGGGGTTTTCGTGATGCTGGCATGCGTCCTCATAAGCTTGTGTGTGTTCGAACTGACGGCAGATGTTACGCTCGTCGGATGTTCTTTATGCGGGGCCCTCTGCTCCGATCGCATAACTGCTCTGTCGACGCCTTGCGTGTCTCGGCGTGCTGCTCGGGCCATTAAATTGTGGAACCGATTGCACAAGGGATAATACAAACACGCGGGCAGAGGCGAGTTGCTTCGTGTCCGTGAGGTTTTGCCTCTCGAGATCGGTTACCTCGTTTTGTTTTTATTGTAGGGTTGCTCGTCGGAGGATCTCTGGCGCGCAATGCCTTGCGCAGGAGGGGGGGGGGAGGGGGGGGGAGAGGAGGGAGGAGGAGGAGGAGGAGGAGGAGGAGGAGGAGGAGGAGGAGAGGAGGAGGAGGAGGAGGAGGAGGCGGAGGCGGAGGCGGAGGCGGAGGCGGAGGCGAGGAGGAGGAGGAGGAGGAGGAGGAGGAGGAGGAGGAGGAGGAGGAGGAGGAGGAGGAGGAGGAGGAGGAGGAGGAGGAGGAGGAGGAGGAGGAGGAGGAGGAGGAGGAGGAGGAGGAGGAGGAGGAGGAGGAGGAGGAGGAGGAGGAGGAGGAGGAGGAGGGAGGAGGAGGAGGAGGAGGAGGAGGAGGAGGAGGAGGAGGAGGAGGAGGAGGAGGAGGAGGAGGAGAGAGGAGGAGGAGGAGGAGGAGGAGGAGGAGGAGGAGGAGGAGGAGGAGGAGGAGGAGGAGGAGGAGGAGGAGAGAGGAGGAGGAGGAGGAGGCGGAGGAGGAGGAGGAGGAGGAGGAGGAGGAGGAGGAGGAGGAGGAGGAGGAGGCGGAGGAGGAGGAGGAGGAGGAGGAGGAGGAGGAGGAGGAGGAGGAGGAGGAGGAGGAGGAGGAGGAGGAGGAGGAGGAGGGAGGAGGAGGAGGAGGGGGAGGGGGAGGGGGAGGGGGAGGGGGAGGGAGGGGGAGGGGAGGGGGGGGGGAGGAGGGGGAGGAGGGGGAGGAGGGGGAGGAGGGGAGGGGGGAGGAGGGGGAGGGGGAGGGGGAGGAGGGGAGGAGGAGGAGGAGGAGGAGGACGAGGACGAGGAGGAGGAGGAGGTGGTGGTGGAGGAGGATGTGGAGGAGGAGGAGGAGGAGGATGAAGATGAGGAGGAGGAGGAGGAGGAGGAGGAGGACGAGGAGGAGGAGGAGGCAGGAGGAGGCAATCACGTCGCATTCGATTAACAACACTTCCCCAGCGTGGCTTCTAGTTGTCCGCAACAGATCCTCACGTACATGCTCCTCCTACCTGTCCTATGCACGCAGGCATTGTGGTGTACACCAGTTTTGCGTTGCACGCGGGTGCTGTGGTGTAGACGCGCTGTGGCGTGCACAGGCGCCGCCGTGCACGCAAGCATTCTGGTGTACACAGGCGCTGCGTTGCACATCGTAGCTGCGGTGTGCACATGTACGCCGGCGCTGTAGTTTACGCAAGCACTGTGGTGTACACGTGCGCTGCGTTGCACACGGTTGTTGCGGTGTACGCAGGCGCTGTGGTATATACGCGCGCTGTGGTGCACGCGAGCGCTGTGGTGTACAGGCGCAGTGGGGCATATCGCCACCTACATGGTGCTCGCGTCGTCGTCGTCGTCGTCGTCGTCGTCGTCGTCGTCGTCGTCGTCGTCGTCGTCGTCGTCGCTCGTCGCTCGTCGCTCGTCGCCGACCGTCGCGTCGCGCGGGCGCGGCTGCGGTGCAGGAGCCACACGGCGGGGGGGTGGGGCGTTACGTCATACCCCCCGTCGCCCCCCCACCCCCCATGACGTCCGTCATCGCCGAACATAAAGAAACGCGCTCCTGGGGGGACTCTTCATCGCCGCGGCCAGCTTCGCCCCGAGGAAACAGGCCTGGTGAGGAGATCTGGGCTGGGCTGGAGAGCCACAGTTGTCTCGACTGGCCCTTCCTCCGAGGTGAGGGGCCTGGTGGGACTGTATCAGGCGGTGCCGCAACGCGAGGGGCTGCGGTCGTCTATCCAGGAGGCCCTGGCGGCGCTGGAACACGCGCGTTTGCTGCTGTGCTTCGCCTTCGACGAGGACGGCGACGCCGCAGCGAGGCGCGCCGCGGACACCTGCAATTCGGCAGCGTGGAGCGCAGGGCATGCTGGCGTCGCACTGGCTGGGAGCGCGCTCTGCCGCGGCGAGCTCGGAGGGGTCGCAGGGGCCAGAGACGCCCTCGGTGCCGTGCTGCGGACCTTCTGGGAGGGCCCTGCCCCTCTGCTGCCGTCCGGCGGGGGCGCCGCCTTCCCGGAGAGCTTGGGCCACGGCCTCAACGAGCTGGACGACTTCGTGCAGGGCCTGCCAGTGGACCTCGCGGGCATGCCCTTCGCTCTGTTCTACCCCGCGCAGCTGTCCGGCGGGCTCTGCGCCTTCGAGGGGCACGCGGGGCCGCTCTTCGACGGAGACCTCGTGCGGGACGCGTCGGGCCGGCGCAGCCACGAGCCGTGGCTCGACGTGACGAACACCTTCACGCAGCACTTGAGCGCCACGTCGCTGCTGCGCACGCTGCATCTGCAGGGCTTCCCCCTCTCGAGGACCGTGCTCAACTACGGCGCCTTCGACGTGCTCTGCGCGCCCGGCCCGCAGTACGACCCCGCCAACTGCCTGCTGGCGGACGTCGCCAAGGTCAGGGGCAGCGATGGTGGAGGGGGGTAGGCTTAAGTCGGGCCTGTCCCTCTACATGGGGGAACATTTAGCTTAAATAGTCAGAACCTAGTCAGAGGATTTGTTATTATTGTTTATGTTGACTACTTTGGAGTACTTTTTGAGTATTTCTCGTTTTTCGCTCAAATCCGCCTGTAGGGGGACATGCCCGACCTGAGGGTAGGCTCGGGAGGGGTGGGAGGGGACGCATCGACCCCCAATCGCTCATTCTTCGCCGGCAGGGGCCTGATATTCCACCCGCCCACCCCGCGCAGGAACGAGAAGTTCCGCAATCGGGGGCCTATCGCCCACCAGCAAAGCATCGCCCATTCCTGCCCAACGTTCCCGCCCTGAGCCCGCCCCCCGGCACCCCCCTCCTCGCCCCCCCCCCTCGCGAGGACCCCAGGTGGTGTGCCAGAGGCCCAGCCTCGGGGGCGTGGAAGGTGGTCATGGCCGAGCGAAGCGCCGCGCACGCGGAGGAGATGCGGAAGGCCCTCCGCTCCATGCCCTTCCCGAGCTGCGGCGGTGCCGGCTCCGAGTCACTCCAGGCCCTCGTGGCCGAGGTCGAGGTGACGCCAGAGAACGCCGCGCCCCTGCTGCAGTCCTGGCGCCTGTCCCTGGGGCCCGTCGGCCCCGAGCGGCGCTGGCCAGTGGACCTGCTGAAGCTGGACATGGACAGCGGGGACTGCTGGATCCTGCGGCGGCTGCTGCCCGTCGTCGACCCGCTGCTGATACACGCCGAGGTCCCAGCCACGGAAAAAGCGGGGGCCCCGGAAGGGCCCTCGCCGGTCTCGGCCTCCTGGGCGGCCGTCAAGAGGTGGCTCAGGATGGCGAGGGTGAAGATCCGGGCAGGGGCCCGTGGTCCCATGACCTTCGGGGGCAACTTTTTTTGAGGTAGGCTCAGGGAGAAACGCATCGATCTGGCCCACCCCGCCCAGGAACATGCGGATTCAGGAACATGCGGATTCACTCTGTGTGTGTAAATATACCTATACGACCACCCTTCGGCTGATAAGGAGGTTCGGGAGGGGGGAGGAACCAACGTCTCACTCGATCGGTCTCACTATCGATCTCACCATCGATCTCACTATCGGTCTCGCTCGATCGATCTCACGCGATCGATTTCACAATCGATCTCACTCGATCCATTTCATTCGATCGATCTCACAATCGATCTGACTATCGATCTCATAATCGATGACGCTATCGATCTCACTATCGATCTCACAATCGATCTCACACTCGGTCTCACTATCGATATCACAATCGATTTCACCATAATCATCATCAACATCATCATCACCATGAACAACCTCATCATCATCATCATCATCATCATCATCATCATCATCATCATCATCATCATCATCATCGGGACACCATCATCAGCAGCAACATCATTATCAACATCATCATCATCGAGACCATCATCATCGTCATCATCATCATCATCACCATCATCATCATCATCATCATCGGGACACCATCATCATCAACATCAGCATCATCAGCATCACCATCATCGGGCCACCATCATCAAAGTCATCATGATCACATCATCATCGTCATCGTCAACTTCATCACCATCGGGACCCCATCATCGTCATCATCAACATCATCATCATCGGGACACAATCATCATCAGCATCATCATCAGCATCATCATCAGCCTCATCATCATCATCGGGACACCGTCATCATCATCTCATCATCATCTCATCATCAGCATCATCATGATCAGCATCAACATCATCGTCATCATCATCGGGACACCATCATCATCATCAGCAACATCATCATCATCATCATCATTATCATCGGGACACCATCATCATCATCAGCACCATCATCATCATCATCATTATTATTACTATTACCAGGACATCATCATCATCATCACCATCACCATCACCATCATCATCATCATCATCATCATCATCATCATCATCATCATCATCATCATCATCATCATCATCATCATCATCATCATCATCATCTACATCATCGACATCATCATCATCATCATCATCATCATCATCATCGTCATCATCATCATCGGGACACCGACGGGACACCAGCGGGACACCGGCGGGACACCGCGCGCCACCGGTTGCCCGAAGGGAATCATTTGGTCCGGCCGCGCCTCAGCCACAGCGGGACACCGGCGGGACACCGCGCGCCACCGGTTGCCGGAAGGGAATCATTTGATCCAGCCGCGCCTCAGCCACAGGAGACTTTCTCTCGCCCGCCCACGCAGCTTCGCATCGCCCGAACGCACGACACGCACGAACACGAAACCGAAATCGATTTCCCGGTAGGGGGGCTCTCCGTTCCACTTCGATCTCACCCCCTCACCTCCGATATATAGATAGAATACACATGTAAATACATATATCTATATATGTATATATACATACATACATACATACATACATACAAACATACATACATACATACATACATACATACATACATACATACATACATGCATATACATACATACATATACATATACATACATACATACATACATACACATACATAACACACACATACACATACATACATACATACATATACATACATATACATACATATACATACATACATACATACATACATACATACATACATACATACATACATACATACATACATACATACATACATACATACATACATACATACATACATACATACATACATACATACATACATACATACATACATACATACATACATACATACATACATACATACATACATATACACACATGATTAAGGCACTATGCCGACGATGTATCGCCGATTCCAGCTCAATGTCTCCCCCTCTGAGCCGATGTGCCCCCCCCTCGTCGCCCCCTCTCCCCGCCAGGGTCTCCATCCCTTCCTGCTCAGTGCCTAGAGGTGCTCCCTTTTCTGCCGCCCGCGGTCGGGTACGCCCCGGACCCCGCCGCGCCCGGCGGTGGGGAGCCCGGCGCCTGGAGCGCGTGCAGCTTGGGGGCCTACCTGGAGCTCTTGGGGTAGCCTGGGGGCGCCCAACAGGGGTTGATGGGCCTGTTTTCTTCCACCACCACCATATGTGTTGGAGGGGGATGGGGTCCTCCTCGTCCTCGTCCTCGTCCTCCTCCCTCCTCCCTCCTCCTCCTCCTCTTCGTCCTCCTCCTCCTCGTCGTCCTCCTCCTTCCCCCCAACCAACTTCTTGTGGTGGTGGTGGAAAACAGGCCCATCAGGGGTTTTCAGTGGAGGACTCGGGTGTCTTTGACGCTCGAGGTTTTCGGGCGTTCTCGTCGGCTCTCGGCCGTTTCCTGGCCACGGGGTGTCTTCCAGCAGCTGCGCCTCGCCGAGGGTGTTCAGGGCTGCCCAGATCCCCCCGAACGGCCGCTGGAGGCCTGAGTCAGGCCCGGAAACCAGCAGCCGTGGACGGGAAGTGAGGACTGGGGGGGCGTACCTCGTAGCAGGGGCCATGAAGTCTTCCAGGTCTCATGGCCCCCTTCTTCATTGCGTGCTCCAGCCCGCCCAACTAGATTCGGACATAGCTAGGGCCCCGGGCAAGGGGAGCTGGGTAGGGATGGGGCCCCGAAGCCCAAGAACTGGACCAGACTCTCTAAACCAGGTCTGCCGTAGCTGGTGTTTCTTCAGGTGACGGCAGTTCTGGTTATTGGAGTGGGGCGGAGAAGGCGCCCCCCAGCACAGCATCAAGCCAGGCCTCACTAGACCCAGTCTTGCCAATGTCCGATTGATGTGGTCGGACGATTGCGCCGCATCGCCGATGCACTGACGATGCAGCTCGACTCGGAGCCCGATTTTCTCCACCCTGACGTCGTCGATGAATCGCTGATGTCGAAGAAGCAAAAACCGCGTAAAACATAAACTTTTGGCGCTCCGCGCGGATTTCTCGGATCCGCGCCTGGGCCCCCCGGCGGCGCCTTCAAGCAGTGGCGAAGCGTCCTGGCTCGCCTATAGCCCCACCAAGTCATGTCCTAAGAACCTTTGCACGAGATGTTCTTATTAGAACATTTGGGTTCCAAGAACATTTTGTGGTAGGACTCTAGGAATGCCGGGACGGTCGGTCCCTGCTCAACGCCTCCGGCGCCGCCCCTGGCGCGTTTCGCGCGCCAGGGGCGAATCCAAGAAATCCGCGCAGAGCGCCAAGAGTTTATGCTTATGTGTTTTTTTCTTCTTCTAGACTCGGAGCCCGATTTTCTTCACCCGAACGTCGTCGATGAATCGCTTATGCACTGGCGATGCGCCGCGATGCTCCCACCGTATCTGCCCAGAACCCGAATTGGGCGGCCTCCAGACATGCACCCTGACCCCCCTCCCTTCGTCCGCGCACGTGTCCCGGGCCACAGTGCGCTACAGTTTTAAGTCAGGCGTGTTACTTTACAGGATTAGTTTTCAAAAATAGTCAAAAGATGGTCGGGGAATTGTTTTTGTTTTAAATGTATATTATTATCACATGTGATAATGATACTACGAATGATAATACTCATAATAATACTAATAATCTTAAACATAATTATAATACTACTACTAATATTATTAATATTACTACTACTAATAATGGTACTAACAATAATAATGATAATATGTTTGACCATGTTCGAATATGTTTTCACTATTTCTTTTTTCTTCCAAAATCCGCCTGTAGGGGGACATGCCCGACCTAACGCTACAGTCAAACCGCTTCATAAGGATGATCATCTTTCCAAGGGTACTCCCCAAGGCCCTTGTATCCTTGCCTCTCGGCCCATCCGAGCCCTCGCCCCGGACCGTCGGCTTCAATTTCGGCCCCAGTCTGGGCGTCCAAAGGCATCGCACCCTTACCGGGCCTCCTCATGATCCAGCCGCACGGTGACCCCCTCCCCCTGGCCCCGCTTTCGGGCGCACCCGAGGCAGGGGTCCGGGCACCGCACCTGGGCGCTGGCGTCCCTGGAGTTCGAGAACGCCCTGTTCGTGCGGCGCGACGTCGCCGAGGCATTCTTCCCGTGGGTCTTCCGCAGCGACAGCACCCACAAGTGGGCT